CCAAAGGTCCTGAGTTCAACTCCCAGCAACCACATGGTGACTCACAACCATCTGTGAAGAGGTCTGGCGCCCTCTTCTGGCTTTCAGGCATACACACAGACAGAATATTGTATACATAATAAATAAATAAATATTAAAAAATATCCCATGTTTATAGAGTTTTTAAGATGCTTTAAAAGAGGTAACACAATACCAACAAAATAAAAATAAATGTCAAGGAAAAACAGGGGAAATTTTCAAAAGCATATGTATTAAAGGAGCCAGTGCTTCCACTCATCTTCAAAAAGAAGTGGGGCCATCTGTGCCCACTGCTTGGTGTCTTAATCTCATGGGCTTCTGTGCCAGATACCAAGGGATATATTAGCAACAATGTTTTGCTGCCTTCTGTTCTGAATCTTGGGAGTTCATGGGCAGAGGTGAGTAAGTTCCCTGATAGCTCTTTGACTCAGCATGCTTCCCCAATGATGGTAGAATCCAAACGCCTGACTCCCCATTACATCACTTTCATACTTGCGATAGACTGTTGACTTAGGGACTCTCAGAAAACAGACATTTAAACGTGAGCAAGTAGGTAAGTAAAGTACATTTTCTTAGGAGCACTGCCATTTGACTTGGATATATCAAGAGTTTTACGTATTTTCATTCCTGGTTCCTCTTCAGTGTAATGCATCGCTTTTATTTATTTATTTATTTATTACATATACAATATTCTGTCTGTGTGTATGCCTGCAGGCCAGAAGAGGGCACCAGACCCCATTAAAAATGGTTGTGAGCCACCATGTGGTTGCTGGGAATTGAACTCAGGACCTTTGGAAGAGCAGGCAATGCTCTTAACGTCTGAGCCATCTCTCCAGCCCCATGCATTGCCTTTTTTTTTTTTTTAAAAATATCAGTTTCTTATTCTTCACCCCAAAGGAATAATCATGGCTCCTGAAGCTGTGTAGGCATCATCCCTTTAAGTGGAATATTAGGAGGAATTTACACATAACCTCCAATTCTCCCCATACAACAGCAGGGAAAAAAAATGCCTTACAAAAGAGGAAATGTGCTTTGGTTGCCAAGGAAACCAAATGAAAGTGATGGAGCGAGAAAATAAAGCTAATAGAGACAGACCCCTACACAGGTGCACTTAGCTTCCCCAGGTCAGTGCTCCATGGTATCCTCCATGTCTCTTCATAACCAGGACATCCTGCTAGGATAGTCAGTGTAACAGCACCTGACTTGCTGTCAGCCTTTCAAAACTCAGCCTATGTGTTTGGAGTTAGGAGACCTGAGAATCCCAGGCAAACATATTCTGATGCCGTTTTTTTCTATTGTGCCTGGCTGTGGTTCCTACTTCCCAAGTGAGAGATATGTCCAGAGTGACCATGGATGGACCTCAGCAGTCACAACACCTAAAGAGACATGCAGAAGTGAAAACTTTTCAACAGCTAACATGAAGTAATTTTGCTTGAAGCATTTTCTCCTGTAATTTCATACAAACACAGTTTCAGAACATGAGTTTAAAAAAAATAAACTTCTCAAATCCTTTGAATAAGATTTGCAAAGATAAATAATTGTGGTTTTCTTTGGAGGAGGATGTACAAACAAAGAACTACCATTTGAGCTGTATCTTCTTCCAGAATCTGTTGTCTCTGGCCTTTGTTCTTCACTCTGCTGAAAATACCTCCCTCACTCTGTGCACTTACCCAATGCACAGATGATCTTGCTTGATGGAATATCAATGCAGTTTAATTATAAAAGGAAATAGGAAACATAGGCAAATGGGTAGATACATAACTAAATAAGATAATAAATAACAAAAGGTTTCATGTATGACCTAAACAGGTTCATGAGATAAGAACAAAGGAATGAATGGGAGCCAGCTCAGGCCTGCCTGTCAAGACCTTGGATTCTTCATTAACATAGCTGTGAATGAATCTTCCAGGCTATGGGCAGTTGTTCAAGGACGATGTAGGGTTTGAAGACATCTTACCTTACTTTGGTAGCTGATCATTAGGTTGCATATTTTGGGTATCATGTTGGGATCCTCTGGCATTCCCATCAGGTTTTCTGTAGGGGAATTCAGGTTAGAAAAGTTTCAATTTTTGTTGACTGTCTAAACAGGAATATTTTAAATGGAGAATATCAGACACTGCCTGACTGAAATGGAAAATAGGGCAAATTTTGGACCACTGTTTTCTGTATTGCCCGAAGAATAATTTTTGTGGCTCATCATGAAAACGACTATAAAGTTTGTTCTTATAGTTTGCTTAGCCTATCTTATTAGAAAGGTTGGCACTAGAAGGCGTGCTGGAATACCTTGGGCAGAAAACATCCTCCTTGATGGGTGCTGAGAATTTCTTGGAGACATTAGTCTCCCTAGTTTCTCTCAGGACTCTAATTTCTCTTTAGACAATCATCTATACAGTCTTCATCAAGAATCTAGAGGCATCATTGTTTCTTGTATTTACCTTCCCTTTTGCAGGGAGATGAGGTTAGTTGTTTGGTTGGTTTTTAGTTTAAGATGGTTCATTGAGAGGTTAATAACAAGGAGAGTTTCATTGACTTATAAAACATTCAGAGACTTTTCCCATCGCAGTCCACTGATATATGGTAACAGAACTACTGGAAACTGCAGTTTCCAACTCTCAATAAATGCTCAAACACAGGAACCACCCACTGAAGGGGGTGGATGGGGAGAGGGTGGAAAGATTGGGAAACCCTGAAATCAAAAGATCAGACTTTCTTCCCAGATCCAGTTCGATACCTAGCTTTCCAGTTCCTCTAAAATACTGGTAGTTCTTGTCTGATAACCATTTGATGAGATCACAAAGATAAAATGAGACTTCTCATTTCCTGGGCATAATTAAATCCAATAAAAGCAATATTCAAATCAGAAGATTTCTACACAATGGATAATTATGTGCATCAAGTTTTGTCTCCCAGCACAGGAAACCTAATGAGACCTTTAGGGACATCATCTCTGAGTCTCCTCTCTGTTCCAGCCACCACAGTGACCTGAGAGCTTCCAGTGCTTTGCAGTGCTAAATATCATCAGTACTGCTTTCCTCGAATACAGATGTCTAGGACTTATCTTCCTGTTTGAACATGTTTCCATATTAATGAGATGGAAGCTGCATCTAATTGTTTTATTAAATGCAGATGATTTTAATTCCTCTTCTAAAATATACACACATTCAGAGAGACCTCATTGTAAAATTCTAATTTGAATTGTTTGCTATTACACTGAAATAAAGGTTGTTCTAAAGTAATTTGGTGGTGGGTTTTATTAGTTCATTATGAGCATAAACTCAATTTACTGGAGTTAACTTAATATTTATTCAAATTAAAAGATTTATCCTGTCTATAACTCAAGAGTCATTGGCTCTATTTATTCGAGGTCATTTCAATTAATATAATGAAAAAATTGTTTGACAATGTCAAGCTACAAATACCACATTTCAATGTTGAAATTAGGCCCACTTCATTCTTAACTTGTTTTTCCATTAAAATTTACAAAACACATTTAGTTTTTGATATTCCAAGTGTGATTTTTAAGACAATTTATGTGGGGAGAGAAGATTTAAGTAAGAGTTGAAACTAGATTTGTAGCTGTGAAACATATATTTTAAAAATTGTATAAAAATGAAAAGCCCAGAGTAAGTGGGTCTGAAGCAAGCAATTTAAAGCATATCTGGCCAGAATGAAAACAGCTGCCGTTCCAGAGGATTGGGCATTAGGAAACAGAGACTCTTGGTAGACCTTACAGGAAGATGGATTCACCCCAGCTAACTCACATTTGTGCATATCGGCTGAGCAGTTGCTACATTTTAGGCTCAAGAGCACGTGAAAGTTCTGGAAATATGGGAATAATAGCCTTTTGGGATAATTTGGGCTGTACTGGAGTTGAAATAGAAGAAATAAGTATTTACACTAAAAAGTAAAAAAAAATAGTGAAACAACTGACTACACACCTATCCATTCCCTTTAGAGCCCAGCATTGTACACTTATTTTTTACTTGTATCTCTAGAGGCAAATGATTACACCAAATCTGTTGCAGTGTTAACAGTGCCTTTTGAAGAAAATGCCTTCAGAATCATTCTCCAAAATGAGTAAATTTAAAAACCTGATTATATATTTTTCCTCCTTTCTTTCCTTTAGTTTTTCTCCCGTCCCTCCTTTGCTTTTTGAAACACAGTCTCTTGTAGCATTAACCTGTTGTCCTATTTTGCTCCAAAAATCAACTGGACTCATCCTGAAGTCACCCGGAAGGGAGACTCGACTGGGGCATTGCCCAGATCACATTGGCCTGTGCACATATCTGTGGAAGAGTGTCTTGATGATTAATTGATGTAGCAGGGCCCAACCTACTGTGAATCGCACCACTTCTTGGCAGATGGTTCTGGGCTGTATAAGAAAGTTAACTAAGTATGAGGCTGGGAACAGACTTCTGGTTTCTGCCTTAAGTCCCTGGTCACGCTCCTGCCTTGCCATCCCTTAGGTGGTAGACTGTGATAGAAGCTACTGTGGCTATGGTATTTGTCACAGAGACAGAGAAACCAGAACACTGGCCTTGAACTTGTTTCGTAGCTGAGAATGACACTGAATTTCTGATTTTATTGACTCTACCTTCTGATTGCTGAGATTAAAGGGACTGTAGGAATGTACTCCATCAAAACTGGCCTCTCTCTCTCTCTCTCTTTCTCTCTCTCTCTCTCTCTCTCTCTCTCTCTCTCTCTCTCTCTCTCTCTCTCTCTCTCTCTCTCTCTCTCTGTGTGTGTGTGTGTTCATGTGTTGAATAAACTTTGATACCCAGGATTACAGCAAAATGCACAGCAAAGGAAACAGCAGAATGAAGAAGCAATCTTCAGAACTGGACAAAATGTTTTTCAGAGTACTCACTCAGCAAGATTTTTTTTTTTTTTGAATGCCAAGTGTTGTCTGTACTTTCTTTTATTATCATAATAGTCTTTGAGTCAAGGTACATAGCAATGATAGCAGGTTTCATATATTTTCCCCCAAAATGACTGGAGGAATGGGTGAAATCTCAACATGAGCTTCATAGTCCTATCTTTGAAGGACTAGCAGTCCTTGCTGAGGTGGCTGCTGAGGAGGTGGCTCCCAGCCAGGGGATGGGAAGGGGAGGTTTATTGCCCGGTGGCTGTGACAGTGAGCTGAAGCTGACTGGTACTCACTTCTCTAAGGTTTCTTCTAGAAACAGACAACTCAGATTCTCCCTCTTACTTCAGCAAAGAAGTTATTTTTAAACGCACTTGGGAAGTTCCTGCTCCACCCTCAGTGGGAAGGCTCAGAGAAGGGAGTCGTCAGTACAGCCACCTTCCAGGCCGTAACGGAATTCCTGAAGGTTGGGGACCCCATAGAAGTGGACGAAAGCCGCTGCCACCACCAGGACGTGGAAAATCTGATGAGACTGGAACCATATGTCAAATTTTCCAGGAAAGAAGCGCTCAGGAATCCGAGCAGCATACAGGCCAGCTCCGGTGATGTACATCACAGCCATGAGGAAGAACCAGCCCATCTGGCCCACAGTGGTGGCCTTGACAAAGCCCTCAGCGATTGTAAAGTGCATGGTGGGTACAACACCACTCAAGCCAAGTCCCAGGAACACGCCTGCTCTTGTCTGCCGGTGCTTAGGAGTGGCAAACCGATCCCACTGTGCCACAATGATGGCGGAAATGCCCAGGACACAGACGATGGAGAGGTAGATGAGCCGTGGCTGTGGGGAGCAGTAGAAGGTGTAATAGAGCCAGGGGACAAAGCTCCCCATGATCAGCAGAGCAATCCCTGAATAGTCCAGTTTAGAAAAAGTCCGTGAGACTTTCTCTGAGTGACAATAGACGGTGTGGAAGAGCCAGGAGAAGCTGAGGCAGAGCACTGCGCCGAGGAAGAACATCCCAAACACCACCTTCTCCTGCAGGGGAGCCATGAAGTACATATTTGGTCTGAGCATGGTCAAGATTCCCAAAAAGAGGAACAGCACGAAACCAAGCAGATGGGTCCAGATGTTGCCAGTTTCTGTGTGGATGCGGAAGATGCTCTTGAAGCAAGCCCAAAAGGAGGGCATAGGTGGTCTGTGGCCGTGTAACAGGTAAGTTAGTCATTGTCTTTCAGCCAGTCGGGAAGCACATCATATGGGATGACTCTCCAGCGCCCCTCCCAGACCTTATATACGAACTCCTCCATCTTCTCCATGGTATGGTGGGCTTGCAGAGGAAGCATTAGTACCCGCACCTCCTCCTCCTCTTCCTGAGGCACTGGGCATGTCTGTTCTTCTTCAGCCTTTGCTGGGCTCGTGGTTGCCCGCTTGCCCTTCTCCTCCAGCAGGGGTCCCAGTTCAGCCAGTTCCACCGTGTCAGTTTCTCTGTTACCAGAAGGAGCCCCATTGCCCTGTGCCACCGCAGGCCCTTTGTGGGAAGACATCTGGCTGGTACCTCAATACCCTGCAGCTTCAGCTTGAGGAGAGGTTTGGGTCTCTCAGCCCCAGGGGGCAGAGATCTTCCTGTGATGGTAGACAGGCCTGGCTGGCTGCTCTGCTGGGGGCCGCGGGCCCGGGCGTTGGAGGTGGCCTGCGGCCGAGGGGCGCCCGATCCTCAGCGCCCTGCCCGCGCGGGAAGGGCCGCGCGACCTCACGGCGTCACCTCCGCAGCCGCGTCACCTTCCCGGCGCTACCTCGCCCCTCCGATCCAGGCCACTCAGCAAGATTCTTATGCAGAATATATAAAGAACTCAAAAATACAAAATAACAATTAGAAACAGGCAAGTGACCAGAAAAGACGCTTTTTAAATCCAGCCACACAAACAGCAAGTCTATGAAACAAACAACAACAAAAATGCTAATCATCAGGGAAATGCAAATCAAAACCCCAAGGAATTGTCTCAACCCTGTCTGAACAGCAGTTAACAAAAACCAAAATGCAGCAAATGCTACTCCAGCAAGGACAGAGAAAAGGATCCTTACATGCTGTTGGCAGGAATGCAAATTAGTGCTAAATGGGGAGTTAAAGGTACATGTGTAGGCACAGAATGAGAAGATAAGGAAAAGATTTATTTAGTGTGCATATCTGGGTCATAGTCCATCGTGAAGGGAAGTCAAGTCAGAAACCTACTCAGGAACTTGAAGCAGAAACTGTGGAGAAATGCTGTTTGCTGCCTTGCTCCCAGCTCCATGCTTAGCTAGTTTTGTTAAACAGCCCAGCACTGTCTGCCAAGGGAATGGTTATGTCCATAGTAGGCTGTGTCCTCCCCAAGATGTCTGCTTCTTGTTCCCATAAGACTCTGTGAGAAGAAACGGAAAGATGCAGGGACAGGTATCTAGACAAGATCAGTAGTGTGGAAGGGAGGAACCATAGACTGATAAAACACCCACACATCTGTCTAAGAACCCAGCCTTAATAAGGCTGTTACTGTTCCTTTCTTTACAACGTGGCCTTCTGTCTTTCTAGGATTTTCAATTCCTTGTTCATGCCAGGGACTAAACTTAGCATTCCCCTAGATACCTTCTTGCATTTCTGTTACACATAATTTAAACGACTGTCAAATGCAATTCATATGAACCTACCCTTTCTTTCAAGTATGTGAAACAACATATTACTTAGAATAGTTTTCCTCGAAGTTTTAAAAAAAGAAGCTTTAAAAATTACATGCAGTATATTTCATACAAAACTACAAATCTTGAATTTTAAAGGCCAATGAAGATTATTAAATGATAAGACAAAATAAAGGCAGGGCAGAATAGAGCATGGCAGGAAATCTAAACAGAATTCAAGGAGAAAGAAGGTGGGGACAGGGAGATGCCATGTAGCTGCCGAAGAAGAAAGATGCTGGAACCTTACTACTGGTAGGCCACATCCTTGTGGTAATACACAGATTAATAGAGATAGGTTAATTTAAGATGTAAGAGCTAGTTAGAAATATGCCTAAGCTATTGGTCAAACAGTGTTGAAATTAATACAGTTTTGTGTGATTATTAAGGACTCAGTAGCCAGAAAACGAAAAGCAGTCTCCACTTACAACGTCTAAATGAATGTTTAAACAAAACTGGCCAGCCTACCTTGTTGCGGGAGGTCCTTCCGCTCCTCCAGCCTATAGCCGCTGAGATCCCTTTTAAAAAGAGGCTACTCTCTCTCTCTCTCTCTCTCTCTCTCTCTCTCTCTCTCTCTCTCTCTCTCTTCCTGCTCCGCGTCCAGCGACTAGACTCCCTTCCTGGTTGTGCAGCTGGGACAGTGATCTGTAAGTTTTTCCCCTTTAAATAAATACCACCCTATTAATCATAATTCCAAACTGGTGTGGCATTGTTTGTGACTTATGCCTTCACTACCTAATTTAACACAATAACTATCTGTCACAAACACCTAAAGTATGATTCAAAATGACAAAGAAATCAGTTATTTGAACTTCATAGTTCATGGAATTAACAATGACTGCATTACTAACTTTACTGTTAGCAAAATGAGAAAAGAAGACAGAGTAAAATAAATAAATTATAAAATACATAGGCGATAATAAATTTGTGCCAAATTTGTGCCAATAGGAAAAAAGTCTTAATGAATTAAAGATGGGCAAAAAGATTGGAATAGAAATTTCACTAAAATTGTTGCACAGATGACACATAGATGGTAAAGTACCCAACACTGCTCTGCAACAAAAGATGGCTATGTCCACCAGAAAAGCAAAAACAGTGTTCACCACTGACAACAGGACAGGTTCTCATATGTTCCAAGCTTGGGTGCAACTCACTACACAGCCAAAGAAAGCCTTGAACTTTGGATACTCCTTTATCTAGAACTGGGATTACAATTATCTGCTATCACTCCTGGTTTACGTGATTCTTGAGATCCAAACCAAAACCCCTTGGATGTTAGGCAAGCCCTCTACCATGGAGTTACATTCCCAGCACAGTATCAAACTCTATACAGGACCTGAGCTATGAAAGCTGATAGGAGTAGATTTAAATATACTCTTTATCACATGATCTAGCAAAAAGGAGCCAGAAAACCTTTTGGCATTTACGAAAATGGGCTTAATCTTTTTGTCACACAGTGGCCTTGCAGTGAGCTGGGAGCTTGACCCAGTGATAGGACACTTGCCTAGTGTGTAGGGGAGCTCTGGTTCGCTACTCAGCTTGGAAAACAAACTAAGAATGAGACACAGCACTGTGTTATAAATTTTCAGCAGACTTATTTACACTATCACAATGCCATATATGTGATATGTGGAGACAACTAAAATGTCCTTCAACAGGTTCTTGGCTAAGTAAACTAAGGTATAATCTTAGAATCCTACTTGGTACTAAAAAGAAATGATTAAGCCAAGGAAAAATGGGAGGAAGCTTAAGTGTTGTACTGTACAATTTGAACTTTCAGGTGCTTAGGAGAGTAAAAATATAGAGCAATAAAAAGATCAGAGTTTGTTGGAGGTTGTGTGACATGATGAGGAGGTAGAACATGGGCATTTGTAGACAGTGAACCTCCTCTGACGCTATAATAGCTAATACTCACTACTGGACACTTTTTTTTAAAAATATTTATTTATTATGTATACAATGTTCTGTCTGTATGCCTACAGGCCAGAAGAGGGCGCCAGACCTCATTACAGATGGTTGTGAGCCACCATGTGGTTGCTGGGAATTGAACTCAGGACCTTTGGAAGAGCAGGCAATGCTCTTAACCACTGAGCCATCTCTCCAGCCCTGGACACTTTTATATACACCCATACACCATGGCAGAACCCTAGTGTGGATCATGAACTTCAGCTGATGGCAGTGAGTGGACATGGACAGTGTAGGCTGCCAGTAGTTGGGAGGCCATGTATATATGGCTGTTGTAAATCTCTGAGAACTCTGTACATTCAGCTCAATTTTGTGGTAAACCTAAAGATGCACTAGAAGAATTCAGATGCAAATTCTTCCGCTTTAGACCTGAAGTTCTAATTCTTAAATTTCAGGAAAATCCCAAAGTGTTAGACAATTCTCTAACCATTTATTCCACAGACCTGCTCTAAAAAGTGAAATCATACCTTCATCTTCTATTCTATTGCAAAATAAATATCAAGCAAAGCTCAGGTCTTTTAACTCTGGTTTAATTGACCCTCTTCCCTTCTCGTTTGATTCTAAATAAAATAATGATTTTTAACAGGGTTTTTCTTAGACCCTAAAATTGTATGGTGTGTGTGAAAGTCACAAATAAAGCAGACATTTTAATAATCAGTGTAATCCTCTTTGTGTAACTGTCCCGGGGGAACACACACACACAAACCACATACACACACACAAACTATAGAAACACTTTATTTACAAACACTATATACACATACTAAATACACACATTCCATAAGCATACATTATATACATACATTATATGTAAATACCACACATGCTTGTACCCTGTCCACACCATACCTACACAATATACACATATACAAACATATAAACAGCATAAACAAACATATATACATATATGTACACACATGAATCCTATGCACACATTGTACCCAACCCACCACATACATACACACATACCTTATGCATATACAATATATATGAGAGTGGCCCCTCTCAGCCATATTTAATGCCTAAGATCTTATTTAAACAGAGTGTGGAGACTACAAGTGCAATGTGACAATTCCTGACCCCTTATTTCTTGACCAATAACCTCTACTGATTATAGGAGGCAAAGCAAACACTTCAATAGGGCAATCAGCTTGGTTCTGAAGCAATGCTATTTGCTGCTGCTTCTCCACCTTCACCACAGGCTGATGTAGGAAGCATGTGACAGACTTCCCTAAAAGACCTAAAAGATACCAGTGAAGCCTCACAAATGATGGGGGAAGGTATTCTGACTTGGGGGTCTATGATGATACATTACTTTGTCTTGATCAAAACTGGACTGCATGATTTTTCTCCCAAACCAATTTATGTGTAAAAATAAAAATAAGGCAGCCCTCATTCAGAGAAGAATTCTCAGGGAGAGTCTGGACCTTTGTTTTCACTTCACTAAATTTATCACGGTCTTCTCATAGCTTTTTGTGACCATACATGAATGATGTTGTTCAAACTGAGGCTTGGCAGCAGTGTCCAAACTTTTGGGATTGTGACACAGTGTTGTTATTAACAAATGTGTTGGGGCACTTTCATAACTCTCCTGGTGATCAAAGGGCTCCAGGAGAGACGCACATAATATAGAATGCTTATGTGCATTTTCAGATGTAAGAGGCCAGGCTGTCTCAGTTTTAACTTGGTGCCTTGTGTTTTTTTTTTTTTGGGGGGGGTGGGGGAGCAGTTATCTCATCGGTAATATAGATAATGAAAGAGAACAAGAGAGAGCTCTGTTTAAAGTCGTGACTTAGATTTTAATCAACCGGTAAGATAGAAAACTGTAAGAAATCCTTGCCAAATTCAAAATGCATAGCAAACACTTGATTAATTAGAAGCTGATTGTACCAAGAACTTTTGTGGTTCTCTGATTTGTGAGTAGGAATTTAATCTCTGGCCAGAGGGTGGGATCTTGAACCTGCTTTTAGTAGTGGTAAGCTGATCTGCAGGTTAACAGCAACATCAACGATGAAGGCT